AGCTCAAATACTGGTAAAATAGGTCCGATACATGAAGCAAACGAATAATGGTAAAATAGGTCTACAAATAATGGTAAAATAGGTCCGATACATGAAGTCTACAAATACAAATACGTAAACAGATAACGAAGGCAAATTGCTCAACCCTTGGGCGTGATATTCCCATTGTCGCGCTCGAAGTAATACTCGATAAACTTGTACCGCAGGTATGGTGTCTTGGCAACGCGGAACTAGTTCCGATTTTCTTTCACACGTAGGAACCACAGAGCGAACATGTGGATTGGCGTGCCTTCACCAATATGTTCAGAAGACAGCAGCTCACTAATGCACTCATCGAGCGACATGTCCATCTGTTGATGGGATCTCCAGGTCGAGGCAAGATCATTTCCAACGGTCGCCAATTGCTCCAGCGAAGCTGAAACCTCTCTGGTACCATTTTTTTTTCTTCCCGAACTCGTTACCGCGTTTGAATTTTCTTTTGTCCCCACTATGCTTCCCGGAGATGTTCATCGATGAGCTACCTCCGACCTCGACAGGGCCGTCGCTGGAATCCGTTCCTTCTGCGTTTGAGGGAAACTTGTCTATTCGATCATCCCTATCACTATCTGTGTCCAAGTCGAAACCCCGCTGAGATAGCTTAGACGGTGACAACGCATACTTTGTCGAATCTCCAGTGTCGCCAAATAATTTACCGTATGTTTCGTAGATCTCGTTGCAGTTCATGTCCTTGTACTTGGCATACTTACGGTTCTCCTGCATGAATGAGGGACACAAGAAATTAGAACCTGTGATTTTCTGGGCAAAACAGAACAGAACAGTGTATAGCTTACTCGGTACCTTGATTTTATTAACCCACCAGTGCTCCGGTGCGTCGATAGAACCTGTGACGGGGTTGTATCCAATACCAGTGCACCGTAGCAGCTCAAAAAAGTGTTTGTGCTCGGTCCGAAGTTTGCTCCAGTAGTTTTTCAGCTGAGAGATAGTCCAGTTCTTGTGGGCCTTTCCGTTGAAAATGGCACAAATACGTTGCCACCCAGTTGCCGAGAAGCATTTGCCTCGTCGGTGGCCTTCGGAAATGACAATTTCGCAGGTGGAAATGAACAGTTTGTGCTCGGGCGGATCCCATTTTGCGGACTTACGGAGAACGGGTTGGGTCTGTTGCGGGGGCGAAGAGGCGGGGGCGTAAGGTTCTGGGAAGTTGACGTTGTATTGCTATGCAATACCCAAAATGCAGGCATGATAATCTCAGTCCATTTTCAAGTGACAAAATTGGGCAATAACAGCATAGAAATTCACATCAACCGAAACATAAATGGGATTACATTCATGCAGACCGAAGGGGAAACTAATTAAGTGCATATCATAAAAAAATGAAACAAATTCACAGCTAATTTACAGAAAACAAATACGCACTGGATGTTTAATGTCGAGCAAACAAATTTGAAAAATCGGGGTGAAACACATATTCGCATTCGTATGAATGAACTCATGAAGTGCATGTACTAAGAAATGGGCAGGGCAGTCCATTTTCTATTGCAGAAATGAGATTAAATTGATTCCTTGGCAAATATTAATCGAAGGGCAAGTAAGCAATGAATGTTGTTAAAGAGCCAAAAATATGCCAAGCACAAGAACTTCGAAAAATGACAGACAACATGAATAGTACATAGTAGACAGGGACGATTCTACTTGCCATGTGCTCAGGGTAGTAATGTTGATGCGATCTGTAGTCTGCCATGACCCGTATTGTTGGGGAAGACGGCGTGCGACGGACGTTCGTGGTTGTAGTGGGTGTAGTCGGCGCAGAGGCAGTGGAACAAGGTGAATCCGACAACGTTGATGGGCTACTTCCCTTTTTTTGTACTCACTGTCGACGGAAAGGGGTGGATTTAAGGTCGTAGCAAACGGTATTGCTCAAATCGGAAATGGGTCGGTGCAAAGAGATTACTCACCGACAGCAGGGGGAAGTGAATGCATTTCTGAAGGGCAGTGAATTGGGGGAAAGAAGTGGTTGAGGGCATAACCGTAAAATTGCAAATAAAGTTAAGGGCAAAAAGGTATACTTTTACAACGGTTGTGTTGGCCCTGGCACACCAAGTTCTGACAATTGATTTGAAATTGGGTAGACTTACTGTAGGAAAATGAGAAAGGGTTTGAAAAAATGGATTAAAATGGGGCTCAAACACTAGCTTACTCATCTATCATCGTTTTCTATTCACATTGACATTCTAATAACACGTACTATCCCAATTAAAAAATGAGATCTACTATTTGTACAAAAAATATGCTGCCGAAATTAATACACATAACACTTGTCAGTTTTTTGTTCAACAATGACAGAAAAAGGACCATGCTAGTGACGCATTAAGGATTACATCGGGGTGTACACCCCTCTCACATGGAGGGTGGGGTCCACTTAAATAAAAAATTATTATTCGAGTGGATCTCACCCCCCATATGAGAGGTGTGTAGACCTTGATGTATAGATCTTAATGTATAAGTAGAAATATCCCAGAAAAAAAGACCAACCAAACAGAACACCTGTATTAAGAGCTTGTTTGGGAGAGATTTTTGGGAGAAGAATTGATTTTGAATAGTGATATGATGGGAAATGTGTGGTTGAAAAAGAAGAAAAATTTATTGATGTGATGGAAAACATTATTTTATTGAAGAATGTGTGGTTGAAAATGAGAATTGATTTACTGTAGAAAAATTAAATCATTCACAAACAGGGCCTAATTTTGGCAGCAATGCTTCTGTACAAACAGAGGAACTGTTAAAAGATAAATATGCACACCACAACTATTTGGTGAACGCATTCCAATAACTTCTTCTTCGAGAAGCTCAATCGCTCCCCACCTCTATCCTAAATAATTCAACAGAAAGCACAATATTTGGAATTTTTTTAAAAAAAACTCTTTTTCAACAACTTGGCTATTTACTGCTAGTCTGTCTTGAAACTTTCTGTTTTGCTTGACTGGATGTCAATATAAAGAAATATAAACTCCTTTTTGAAAATTTATCCAAACCAGTTTTCATTTTTAGAACATTGGTGGCGGAGAAGGGTTAAATCGAAATTTATTTACATATGATCACTTATGTTTCAATGATGTAGGGAGGTTCGAAGATAAGTGTCCAATTTGTGAGGAGAAAGGGAAGATTCGATGTGAATTTTGAGTTTTCACTGTGTAAAGATTGGTCATAAATTAAGGCTTTATATGTAAGGTCGCGGTGTACATTACTACCAAAGAGAAGGAAAAATGATTTTTCAAAATAATAATGGTTATTTATGTCATTTTACTTTTGACCATTTTAGTAAATATAATAAATGTTGTGTGACAAATAAAAATCGTGGTGCGAACATATGAATGCCAAGGGTGTAATTTGTGGTAAGGTGTATTTGTATTACTTCCAAATACAGTACAATAAATACCTTTAATTTTTTTGAAAAGTAAATAAATTTCAATTTCTGTTTGGGCCATCTTTTTATCTCATTAAAATTAAAAATATG